TTTTTTTTTATGCATCTTCTCTATGGTATTAAAAAAAAAAAAATTGTGCCCTTCTAGTCTTTAATTGGCAGAAATATGTCCCAAAAAAGAAACTATTGCATTTAAGCCACATCACCAAAAAAGAAAACAAAAACAAAAACAAAAAACAAAAAAAACAAAAAAAAACAGAGCATAATATCCTTTTACTGATGTGTCTTACAGATTGACATGACCAAAAGCCATATAGTTTTCATTCAATTTCCAATTCCCCCTTCCACAACATGCACCAACTGAATATATGCTCTGGGAGCCATAAAATGTACCAAACATCTATCTCTTCAAAAGAATGCATTAAAATATTTTTAAGAATTTTTTTGTTTAAAAGGTGAAAAAAATATAAACAAGAAACTGATTCACTCCCTTACTTCATGCATCCATAAACTAAACCAAAAACAAAGTTTAAAAGCAAGAACAAACTACTGCTGCGAGTTTTTGTAAGTCCATTTTCTCTGTACATACAAACTGCTCAACTACTGAAGGGAAAAAAGAATATAATCCATGGTGTCTTCTGATTCAAAGGGGAGAAACAAGGCTGTCATTAGTATCCAAAAACTGGTACACATATGGGCTGCTTTTATAACGCATATTTCTTTCTCTCTTCTGTTTTTCATATCCAAAACTTCTAAATGCTATTTTAGGGGCACAGCAGATTAGATTCCAGCACTTGGTGAACAGAATTCACAAGCTGTGACAAAATTCTGTCATCTTCAGGGTGCAATTTTGTTTATATACACTGTATGTATATATTTCTTTTAGATTTGGCTGTAGTGGACTGGCCATGGTTCAAGTGGGACTATAGCAGTACATGGGTCAGGGACAGTCATTTTGGCTATGTACACATTCATAGTCGGTCCATGGCTTCCAACTAGTAGCGCTATTTCCGAAGGTCTAATACACAAACCTGTAAGAAATTAAAATAATCAACCGGTGTGTTAAGAATTTCATTGTACATTTTTAGCTTAACATTTCTATAGTACAGTTTGAAATCTATTTTTACTTTCTAGTTCACGAAACTGGTAAAGCAACAAGAATCATGGCACTGGGCACTTAACCAACAGAAATCAGACAAATCATCCAAGAGATTGAAGATCTACTCTCCGTTAATTAAAAAATAGAAAAAAATATGCTCAACATAGACCATTTCCTAGCTTTTGGGCCTAAATGAAAGAGACCTCAGATTATTCAGAAAACAGCTAATGGCTAACACCCTCTCCATTTTCCCTTTGCCTTCAGAGCTTTGGAAGCCAAAACTAGGATTTCTATAAAGAGTTGGCCAACCTCATCCTGAAAGTCTCTCAGTATCACACATTCCTCAATGCAGGACTCAACTGCCTCTACTCCCCTTGCCCTGGGCCACCAACACTCTTCTGCGAGGAAGACAAGGTAGAAATAGGCATTAAAAATTCTAATCTCTCTCAGAGTGGTACTGTTCTACGCTCAATTTCATTAACAAAGGTTTACATTAAAAATAACCATTTCTTGATTAGGAAGATACTCTTTTGGCAAACACAGCCTATATTTTTTTTACATTATTTCAATGAAATAAATATGAAAAATACACAACCTCCAGTAAAAAAGATCAATGCCATAATATGTATTTTGAAAAGAAGACTTTTGTAGTCGCAACCACAATAAGCCACATTTATTTACTACGCTTACACACCCACCCCCTTGGAAACACTTCATTCTACTTACTGAACCATCTGACGCACTGGCTCCAACTTTGTCTCCTGCTGCATTCCAGCAAACTTCAAAAATTCCACCTGTTCCCCTATAGCTGTGAACTAGAGCACCTGTCTAAAAATGAAAACACAGATTCTTAAAAATGGGAACATATATTATTAGAAATCCAAATTATTGAGGTAAAATACTGTATGGCATTATTTCTAGCAATCAGAGATGGAATTTAGCTTTGACTCCAAAATAAATTACAAGTTTTCAAACACTAGAAATGCGATGATGATCCTTCTATAAAATGATAAATAACACTTGCCTGCTCTCAACAGATCACACACACACAGACACACACATACTCAGTTTCTCCAGTATTGATAATCATTCTTAGCTAAGATATCTTTGGCCTCTTTGATACAGTTAACAATGGAGTCAAACATTCAGTGTATGACTTGAAATAAATTTGTTGTTGTTGTTGAAGGATGCATGAGTTTGGCTAACATGTAGAGAGACAAAATGAAGTCAGAATTTCTTTGATAAAATATCCTAAAGAGAAAGTACAATAAACTAGTAAAGACAATTCCAGTGTAAGTCTGTTAGTTACTCTATAATTACTGAGAAGCCCCTAAACTAGAGGAGATTAAAAAAAAAAAAAAAAAAAAAGAAACCAAAATTATTCAGCTACCCTCTGAATAATTAAAACTCAGTTAAAAAACATATTCTCCTAGGAAACCAGTCATTAAACAGGGCAAAGATCAGAGGCTCTGTGGTGAGAAACTGGAAAACAATGAAAAATATGCTTCTGGTTTTCTGCCCTGACAGGGCAGAGAAGTATCTCTCAGCTTTATGATAACCTAAAAAGGTCAAACTAGAAGTAGCACATCTACCTAAAAACAACATGGCAGTAAGACATGTACCTTGTAAATACCTCCTCAGACAGCCAATCCTAATTTAATTACTAAGCCAGAACTCTCTTTTCCCTTGCTTTCCTCTTCAAAGTCATTCCACTAATACTGCAGAAACCATAGGTGCACTGCTACAGCTGATCACATCAGAAAGGTTCAACTGTTTTCTTCACCCTACCTAAAGTTTCTTACAATTTAAAAGATTAATGAAAGTGTGAGTATAGTGGGTTGTGAGTGTATTTCCATGGTTAATTAGGAGAAAGGAGTGGCACCAACAAAATCTAAAATCTGTTGATGTACGGGAAAGTAAAAATCTACAGGACAGTAAGCTCTGGGGTTTAAAAAAACCAACTCTTTCCAAAGCACTTACCAATTTCTAAGCTCAAATTAGGCTATAATTGAAGAACCAAAATAGCATGGGGTCAACAAGCTAGAGCTATAACATTTACAAAAATCAATGGATTAACAGCACTACTCAAATCTGTATATATATGTTCAGACCAGACTTCCAACAACTGACCTGTGAAATGCTTAGGTAACATATCATATGGATGATAATCCAAATGAGGAAAGAAAAACTAGATTTATATTACGACAAAAAGACAATGACTGCACTAAAAACTCACTAGATGCATCTTATGATTTTCAAACTTAAAAAAGTAAAATGATTATTTTTTGATAACACAATAGTGTTACATCTAAATAGCATGGATAGTTGCTCAAATGCCCCTAAGAGCCTACCAGTATCCTCCATTAGAATTCTACATTGCTATACCCAAAGGGAGTAAATAAGTGACTGAAAATGTAGACAACAGGCAGATTATCTATAGATTATATTTAGAAAGTCTCTGCTATTCAATCATAATAAAAAGATTAAAGGGAAGTCAAGGGGAAACCTAAACTATTAAAACTAGTAAGAGAGCTCAGAGAGGTGGATGGATTCAGTTTCAGTATGCCAAAATTTGTAATGTTCCAAACACAAGCAACAACCAGTAAGTAAAAGGAATATATTTTTAAAAAGACGTCATTCGTGGCTAATAATAATATCCATAAGGCACTTCAGAGTAAATTAAGAAAAAAGATCTTCATAAAAAATTATAAAACTTTAATGAAGGGAGAAAAAAGCCTTAATGAGGGGGGATCTATATAGTTAGTTATTAAAACTATGCTAATGATGCAGGTACATACAAATGTCTATCAATGTGGTACAAGAGAATCCATAAATAAACCACAATAACAATGTGGTATATGAAAGAAGTGGCATTATGAGACAGCCAAGGGGTAAATAGGGTTGAAACAACTGGCTATCCATTAGAAATATAAAATTAGATCTCTACCTCAGATTATACATCTAAAAATCAATTCCAAGGGGGTTAAAAATATAAATTAAAAAATAAAACAGTTGAGTATAAAAATGACAGAATGTTAATACTTCTATTCACAAAAAATATCAGGAAGAATGAAAGAAGTTAATAGTTACTTGCAGGGGATCAAGAAGAAAATGGGAGCTCTAAGACTTCCCAGTGGATACCTTTTCAGTGTTTAGGGGGGACCATTTGAATGATACTTGAAAATGATGATTTATGCAGAACAGTCTGACCAACTATGATGATCAGCTACACAAAAAGGAAGAGCTCACAGTAACTGATTATGGGTGTACTACGACCACCTAAGAAGTGATCACTGATGGGCTGGGGGAGTCAAGCGACTGCTATTAAAAAAACAGTACGTGGAGCATAAACACTAAAAAGGTGAGAAGATGAAACAAATTACAGCAACTGGCTGTTTTCTCCATTTTTAGGAAAGGATCTCTCTATACTACTGTCCCTACAAAGGTAGTATAGTTTTAAGTTTATTCCTGATAAATCACTGTGTTCAGCCATAAAATCTTGTCCTTTAGTACATTTTATTAATTGCTCATATATAGCTCCTTCAAAAACAAGTCTTTCAGAAAATAAAGAAACTACATCATTTACCTAAACATGCATCTTAAACTCTATTTTAGGTCAGCAAACTTGAAAAAAAAATAAAACAAGAATCTAAATTTATTTATTTCTAAATTCTGGTCTACATTAGGAAAATATAACTTCAACTGGCTTCAGTCTTTGTAAATTCAAAAAAAGTACTCATTTAAAAACTAAGGACTGAACCAATGTCATAAAAGGAATGACAACCAAAAGAGAAAAGACAATTTATATAGGCAAGTGCTTCTCAGTAACTATGAAAGCAGGTGATGATTTAAATTAACTGAGACATACCTGTGTGTTCCAGATGTGCACACATTTATCAAAAGAACCACTTGCCAGGTACCTGCCATCAGGACTGAAAGCCACACTGTACACAGGCTCTTGGTGTTTTGTCAAAGTATGGATGCAAATTCCTCGGTCTACGTCCCATAATCTAACAGTAGAATCGAAGGATGCACTGACAAAGGAGGCAACAAAATTGACTTTATAAGTAATGAAATACTCCCATGCCCCACCCCCAATCTATAATATTCAGCCATTTCTAGTAGCTAGCCACAAATTCCTTATGAGACGCAGACTGGGCTGTTAGGAAGCAAGTGTTCTGGAAGCAAAGTTATATAGGAGAAAAGGAACTTTAAGGGCATCTCCGAGTCCCTGAATTGAAAAAACAAAGTGAGCTAAATTGACTGTATTCCTTTGCTCTTTAAATAATTCTTTTATATTGACTGATCCATGGTTCTGAACAATGTACTGACTATATTTTTATTTTTTTAATGCTGAAGAAACTGTATTGCACTATGCCTATGCCTCAATTACTTGAGTTTTAATCAGTATCTGGTATCATCAGTAAATATTTGATAACCCCAGATATAAAAATCCATTATGGCCTGAAATAAGAATAAAACTCCAAGTTTTAAATGTTCCCATCAAAAAAACAATCTTTGCAGGATACATTCCCATTTCATGGAATCTTTCCTAACTCTGTCATATTTATTAGAAGCTTTTTGTGTGGAAGACTCATAAAAGGAAGAGTGAAACATAAATATTACCTTGCTAACATAAGGTTGGCATTTGGATTATTTGTCCCTGGCCCTGTTGGACTCCATTTGATAGTATAAATTTCTTTATTATGTGCTTGCAAATCATGGACACAATTGTCTTGTTTCATACTCCATATCTGAGCAAAAAAGAAAAACGTATGTAATTATATTTTCCCATACAAAGGATACATTTAAAAATACTATTGGGCCAATCTAAAATATCAGCAGTATAACCAGAACGATGATTAGAAATCAAGGGAATACTTGCAAAGAAATTAAAATGCAGAACATATTTAATATTTATCTTTTAAAAATGACAAATTAGCTTTAAGTCCTTTCCAAATGTTCACTATTCTGAGGCTTCAAGATTGAATTAGCTGTAGTTCTAAGATTAACTCTGAGAGCTTCAGATGGTACAAACTTCAACATTAGTAAGTCCCTTGGATAGTGATCCTAAAATGTTTAAGGCATTAGTTTTAACACTGTCCCTTAAATGAAAGATGTAGATTACAAATTCTTCTTAGGATTTAGAATCAGAAAATATTTTGTAACAGAGAAGGGCAAATAGATAAGCAACGTGCAAATAATATATTCCTGTATGACACTAAAACACAGGCAATAAAAACAAAACCAAAAAGCCAAAAGGGACTATATAAGATTAAAAAGTCTCTGCACAGCAAAGGGGACAATAAAGAGACAAATGACAGAATGGGAGAAAAAATATGCAAACCATGTATCTATAAAAAAAGGGTTAATTTTGAAAATATATGAGGAACTCCTACAACTCAATAGCAAAAACCCTAATAATCCGATTTAAAAATGGGCAAATGACTTGAACAGACCCTTCTTCTAAGAAGATATACAAATGGCCAATAGGTGTATGAAAAGACGCTCAATGTCACTAGCCATAAGGGAAATGCAAATAAAAACTACAATGAGATATCATTTCACATCTATTAGGATTTTATTATAAAATAAAAAAGACAATAAATGTTGACAAGGACGTGGAGAAATTAGACCACTTGTAGTACACTACTGGTGGGAATGCAAAATGACAGCTGCTATGAAAAACAGTAGGGAGGATATTCAAAAAAATAAAAACAGAACTTTCATATTATCCAGCAATCCCACCTCTGCGTATTTATCCAAAAGAACTGAAATCAGGGTCTTAAAAATATATTTGCACTCCCTGTTCATTGCAGCAATGGTCACAAAAGTTAAGATATGGAAACAACCCAAGTGTCCATCAATGGATGAATGGATAAAGAAAATGTGGTATTATATACAATGGAGTATTTATCATTCAGCCTTAAAAAAAAGGAATTCCTGAACTATGCAACCACATGGATGAATCTTAAGGACAAATACTGCATGGTTCCATTTATATGTGGTATCTATAAGAGTCAAACTCACAGAAGCCAAGAAAAGAATGGTAGCTGCCAGAGGCTGAGGGAAGAGGAGAAGGGGACCAGCTAAATGACAAGTGTAAAATTTCAGCTCTACAAATCTACAATATTGCGCCCATAGATAACAATACTGTGCTGTACACTTAAAAGTCTGATTAAGAAGATCTCATGTTAAGTTTTGTTACCATAATAAAAGTTTAGAAAATGACTCCTACAGAACCAACCATGAAAAATAACAAAGCAATAATTAAAGTCAAAATGATGAGTAGAGAATAATTAGCCTTGCTTGAGTTGAAAACCTATGAGTACAGAGGTAAAGAAACCTACACTGAGAGTACTTCCGGCAAAATCATTCAATAAAGACATGGGAGTAAATCTTGCCAAACACAAACACACATCAAAACCCAACTGCCAACAACAACAAAAAGAACTCACAAAAATTAGGTGTGTTTCACATGTCTGCAATGTACCCAGTAAGAGATAATGAAGCAAACCCATGATGTTTTTAGATCCTAGACATTTATAATTCCATGTAAATAAGCCCCCAAAATATGTTTCAAAACTTATTTCATTTGACCTTTCAATAGCATTGCCACTGTTAGCCACTCCTATCCATCACCTCCCTTGAAACATTCTTCTCTGAACACTCTATCTCCATTTGGGTCATTCCTCCTCAGTTTCCTTTTGGAAGCTCGTTGCTCTTGAGCTGGTAATTATTGGGAGTTAAGTTCTTAAGACTTTCTATTTCTAAGGTTCCCCTTTCCTTACTCTGTCCTTTCTCCCTACACAACTTCATCCAAGTCCACCTGCAGAGAAGTCCCAAATGTTTATGCCAAGGGTAGAGTTCTTGGAGCACCAGGCCCACCCAGCACCTCCACCTGCCTGGCTCAAATCACTGTTCAGGTTTTGCATGATCTTCTGACTCCTGTTCCTTGTTCTCAGAATTTGGCTCCACTACACAATATCGACCCATCTCATTTCTCCTTTAAAACTCTGACCTTTCATTATTGTTAGGACAAAAAGCTAACACTTTCTAGTCCAAACTTCTCTAACTGCTCAGTAGACTCTCCAGCCACTGGCCTTTCAACTCCACATACATGCCATACTCTGTTCCACAAGGCTTTCATTTTATGACTGCAATGCACGTGCATGCAAAGTAAACTCAGACAAAATCATTAAGAAAAGCCTTTTTACTAGCAATGTCTGCAAGGGAGCTCAGACTTGAGAAAACTGTGTGACTAAAAACACAGCAGGTATTTAAGGGAAAAACCCCACCAGGTTACCAAGATTACATTTAGTCTGTTCACAGGAGGAAAAGCGGTTTTCCCTCATGATTCCTCCATCTTAAGGGTCACCACATCTGCAGTCGTGGGCATTGCAGAGTCAAGGATAAAATTATTTTCAGGAGAGTTACTATGTTGCAGGAAAGGGCTCAAAGCTTAATATTGGAAATTTGTATTAGGTTGTTCTTTACCTCAAAACGCTTTTTTTCTCTAAATATGATGTGCACAGGTGCAAGGTGTTAGTTTTGCTTTTAGTCATGCTGACAAGAAAAACATAAATCCATGTCGAGCTGCTGATGCTGGCATGTCAGCAAGGCTCACTCACCAACTAAGCAATCCTCTGCTATAGATCAGCTTCCCAGCAAGGATGATATACATTCACACCACAAAATCAAATTTATACAATTCACAGAATTTCAGCAAAATCCACAAATGCTACAAAGATCTGTTGCTTATTAGTCAAATTTTTACATGTGCAAATAAACTTTAATTGCACCAGTATATGACCTTCTAGAAGTGAAGACAAGACAGAGGTTTCTTAGCACCACAATTCCTATCACTCTTTTAAGTAGAATTTATTTGCTATATTTAAACACTTGAAATACTTCACAAAATAAAGTATAAAAAACAATGATTAACTATTAAAAAGTAGAGTAAATCCTGACCCAGGTTTAAGCATTCAAGGAACTGTAAGAGACATTCTAACTGATCTAAAAATGGCCAGAGCAGCCATTCTTGGTGACACCTCCATTGCATGTCTCCCCACTATTCGAATTACCTTCAAAGTCATGTCATCAGAACAGGAGGCCAGAAGATTGCCAGTTGGGTCCCATTTGATAGCATTTACTTCATTCTAAAAATAACAGTAAATATTCACATTTTCATTTTATAGACTGGATTGCTCTTTGGATATTAAACATACATACTTCAAAAACCACTCTGTAATATTACTTATTCATCATAACCACTTTAAAAGAGGGGGGGGAAGGCTACTCACCGTGTGTCCCTGGAATGTTTTAATAGGTCTGTCTTGTCCTAATTTACAGACATGAATGCACATATCTGTACTACAAGAAGCAAAGGTGTTGTTGCTCTGCCAATCAACATCCAGTGCTGGTGCTGAAAAGGAAAAAGGGCTAGGTTTGCATTCATTCCACACATACTGAAATCTAGGAGCTTTAGTTTTAAACCATGCTGGACGTTAAGTGTGGTAATGGGAACTTAAGCATTTTACTTTATAATTTTTAGAGTTTTTAAAAATGAAGGCATCTAAATATCACAAATATTAAATTTCCATTCAGTTGTCTCTATGTGAGACACAGCCTAACAGAAAGTAACGCAGGTGACTAGGCTTCCTGAGAGCATCCTCTGTGAATGACTAGCACTGCATTCTTGGTATCGCACTTGTAAACCTTTAAAAGTGATGTTATACTTCCTTTTATTTCTAAAATTCTCTTGAGTGTTCAATGGACAAGGGAGCTTGGTTCTGCCACTCCCTAACCACTGGGCCCCAAGCAAGTCATTTAACCTCTCATGCTATTTTCCTCATCTAAAAAAAGGGGATAAAACCTTTAAGCTTAATACACAAGGATACTGTGACGATCAAGTGAGATGGTGCGTGTGAAAAGGACTTTGTAAATGACAAGTTAGACAAATGTTACGCTGAATAATTTCCAATCCACCCATCTGATAAGTGGAATATTGCAGATGACTGCAAATACATTTTCTTCTGATTCTTGTCAAATACCACTTAAAACCTACATCACTGAATTTAAAACCTCAGACGCCCAAAAGCTGGCTGGCTATTAATAGTTACTTTAGCTCTGGTATGACTGGAGATTTTCTTTTCATCTCCCCCTGCCGCAAGGTGCAAAGGCTCTCTAATTAGTAATGCAGATTAACGCAGTGGCAGCAAGTAACTGGGTTAGGCAACAGAGCACACAGCACTGGATTTAGAGCAGTGTGGATGCGATGGCCCATTAGCCAAGGGTAGTTTTTGCATTTCATTTGGCTGGGGGTGAGGATCAAAAGACGACACAGGATCAAAAGAAGACCTATGAATGTGAACATCATACAAAACTCAGATTTTAGTGTCCTTATAATAAAATTTCATTAAAACCTAGACAAGTTCATTCGGTTACATATCATGGCTGCTTTGCACTACAGGGGCAGACCAAACTGGCTCCAACAGAGATCCTGCAGCTTTATCAAGCCAAAAAATGGTACGTTCTGGCCCTCTGCAGAACAAGGTTACCATTCAGAGCAAACACTAAGAGACAAGGGGAAACAGGAAGTTACAGTGAAGCTGTATATTCCATTAGAAATATAAAGCATTTAATAAAGGAGGTCAGAACTTGTGTGTATGGGAAAGAAAAACCACTTCCTCACTGTTAGGTATCTATGCATCATAGTAACTGGCTGTTTTCACACTGAGCATATTACAAAATAGGTATTCTGAGCACCGTTAGACTGTAAAGCCAAGTGAGCAGAGTGAGGAGCAGGCTGTATTCTACTACCTTCGTGGGCAACAGGCCTTCAAAGGTGTCTGCACGCTCCCTCCTTTGCAGACCCTCTTTACCTGTGCTCTGTGTCCCAGTTTCTGAGTGTTTTGGTGCTAAGGGCTCCCAGGGTAAACTTCTTCAGAGAATTGCCTTGTTCTGCTGCTGTCTCCAACACCGCCCCCCGCCCCCCCTAGCCAAAAATGGCTAGTACCCAATGGCTGGTCGTATGTAGTTGGGTTTGGGGGAAGGGGGGGTGATTCAAAAATCCAGCGTGTGGTTCAAGATGAGAAAAACTCCAACGTGTAATAAACACTCCAAAGCCCTGCCTGGATCAGGCTGAGGCTGGGCCCTCTTCCCCATATCCTAATCCCTACAATTCCTCACTTGTTTCTCCTGAGAATGTTTCCTTAATAAATCACGCCACTCAAATGCTTGGCTCCAGGTTTGCTTCTAGGAGAATCCAACTTAAATCAGCCAGTAAACAAAAGTACAGGCCAACTCTGATGAGCATTACGTATGAACTCTACTGCTGTCTGTACACATCGCACCATCTTAGATGCATGTCGATGACTGTCCCGCTCACTGTCTGCTTGTTCTCAGGGCCATTCCTTACGACACTCTGTCCTGCTATGCTTTACACACAGTGGGTGGACTCTTGCAAATTACATATCCCAGGTTCCTGTGCCTACTGGTTTCCAGATGGATTCATACAGTGAGAGACACTGTCAAGAGCCCAAGGTCAAGAGAAACAAGACAGGCAATTTTGCTCTCATCTCTCTTTTAAGGCTGGTTGTCTGGCAGTGGCAACGGTTACTCCAAGGTGCCTGTTCTTGCCAGGCAGTTCTTGTTTCTCCCTTTCTAATTCCCACTGACCAGAGGGATCCTGCCTTCTCTATAGTCTTAGGTTTTCTGCAGTTCTTACACTCCGGGGTACCTCATAGTCCTCTGGTTTTCATTCTTCCAACACCTCTGCAACTATTTCCTTGTACTAAATTCCCCTTCTTGGACGACCTGGTTTAGATTCTGTTTTTGTGCCTGGAATCTGACTAGTACCTACTACACTTTCTTTTTGACATTAAATACTATTACATAAGATATCATTTCAAAAATAATTTTAATAAAATGTTTCTTTGATAAATAAATGGTTCTAGTGTTAAGTGGTGGGGGAAAAAGCCTGAAAAATCCAATAAACTTAGAAACAACTGAAAGTATAATAAAATGCTACAAAGAATGCCAAGAATCTGTCATGATGCATCAGGATGTTAATCTGATGCAGAGCTGTCTGCCAAACAGGAGATGGGAGGCTGAGAAAGTAAGAAGTGGCATTCCAACAAATACACCATTAGGTTCAGAACAAAACAAAGACCGTACAACCAGTAAAGCTAACTGGGGGAAGTTAGGGAATGCTGCAACATGAGTTGTATGATTTATGCTTTGTGATACACCTGGCTCATAAAATACAAGGGTTAAAAATTGGTGTAATCTAAGAATACCTGCGTCCTTACTTTTTGCTTACTCCTAAAATAAAAAGAGTCTAGGTGATGCAAATTCTTTAGGAAAGAAATACATCTCTATGGGCTGGCTCAGTCGGAAGAGCACAAAACTCTTGATCTTGGGGTTCTGAGTTCAAGCCCCAAGATGGGTGTAGAGATTACTTAATAAGGCTACACAATCTTTTAAAATCTTGGAGCTAAGATTAAAATTTTTGTGTCCTACTATTTTTGATATATTTTTGTTACCCCCTCCATCCTTCATAATTTAAAAAGGTAACAAATGAACCGAACCTATGCAGTAAGGAGACAAAGACATTTATTACTCATCTGCATTTTTTTAGAAACCACTTTACTGAAATATAAATCACATACTATAAAATTCGTCCATTTAAAGTGTATACTTCAGTGGGTTTGGGCATATTTTATTATTAATTTTTAAATACTGTGGTCATATATAACATAAAATGTCATTTTATTAAGTGTACAATCAGTGGTATTAATTATGCAACCACCACTATTTTCACACTTTTTCATCACCCCAAACAGAAACTCTGTAACCATTAAGCAATAACTCCCCATTTCCCCCTTCCCCCACTCCTGAGAACCTTAATCTTTGTCTCTATGAATGTGCCTGTTCTAGATAGTTAGTAAGTAAAATTATACTGTTTGTCCCTTTGTGTCTGCTTTATTTCACTTAGCATAATGAATATAAGGTTCACTAATGTTGCAGCATGTGTCAGAACTTCATTCCTCTTCATGGCTGGGTAATAATCCACTGTACATGTAGACCACATTTTGTTTATCCATTTGTCTGTTGATGGACACTGGGTTGTTTCCCCCTTTTGGCCACTGTGCATAATGCTGCTATGAACACTGACAAGAATCTGTTCAAGTCCCTGCTTTCAAGTCCTTGGGATGTATACCTAGGTGTAGAACTGCTGGATCATAATATGGGAATTCTATAGTTAGCTTTTTGAGGACCTGTCCTACTGTTTTTCCACAGTAAGTGACTGTACCATTTTACAAACCTACTAGAGAAGTACAAAGGGCCTAATTTCTCCATATCCTCATGAACATTATTACTTCTTCTAGCCATACAAATGGGTATGAAATGGTCACTTATTGTAATTCATCTGTAATCATGATTTATGCTTTATGCAAGAGTGTATATGGGAGACAATTTAGCATAGCAATTAAAATATAGTAATATAGTAATTTAAAAAGCATGGTAGACTTCCATTTCTGGTCAAGATGGAGTAATAGGGTCCAAATTTACCTCCTGCCCAAAACAATCAGAAAACTTACAAAATATATGAGATAACAATTCAAGACAGTAGACACCAGGCAATAAAAGACAGCAGTTCCTGAGAAAATGGGAACCAACCATCAATGTGCCCTTTTTTAACTGCCCAAGCTTACAATTTGGGGGAAAAAAAAGTCCAGGTCTTGGCACAGGGAAGAGGAATCTCTAGGCAGACATCAATAAATTTCCTGAATGAAGAGACAAAGCTGAGAATCTAGGGAGACTAAGGCAGCTGGAATTTATAAGACAGATTACTGGAAAAGAGAGAGAGAGCTACGCAGACAGAGATGTCACTTAGTAGTAATTAGAAGTAAATTTATAGCACTAAATATCCATATTAGAAAAGCAGAAAGGTCTCAAATCAGTGACCTCAACTTCCACATCAAGCAAACAGAAAACAAGAGCAAATTAGATTGACACTGAAAGCATGATTCATAAAAGAACAAATAAATAATTTATGGAGCTCATCAACATTAATAACTCCTGATCTTCCAGGGATACTTTGTTTTGTTTTCTTTGAAATAGAGTTAACACAGAGGGATACTGTTAAAGCAATGCAAAGACGAGCCAGAGACTATAAGACAGCATTTGTAAATACCTGATTAACTTGTATCCGGAACACATAAAGAACAGAAGAAAACAATAAATTAAAGATCCAAAGATCTGATCAGATATTTTTACCAAGTAAGATCTACAGCACGTGACAGGATGCTCTAATGTCACTGGTTATTAGGAAATGCAAATGAAACCACAATGGGATATTAATACCCACTTATTAGAGTGGCTCCAGTTAATGACACTGACCACTTATCAAGTGCTGGCAAGGACATGGAGGGACTAGAATATCCACTGTTGCTGAACATGTCAATCAGTATGGAAAATGCAAGCTTTGGAAAAACAGTTCAGCAGTTTATTAACAAGTTAAACATATACCTCCCATGTAATCTAGCTATTCTATTCTTAGACATTTGCATGGGAGAAATGTACAAGTCCACGCAAAGACTTGTACATGAATAATGATAGCAGTTTTATTTATAATAGCCCCCAAAAAACTGCAAACAACCCAAATCTGCTTTAATAGGTGAATGGATAAACAAACTGTGGTGTAACCACACAATGAAATACTATTCAACAATTGAGGCAAATGCAAAACAATTTCTCAGAAAGAAGCCAGACCAAAAAAGTATGATTCCATTTACATAATGTACACTAATTTCTGGTGTGGAAAGACCATGGGTGGTTGTCTAGGGATGAAGGGGAGAGATCACAAAGGGGCAGGAGGAAACTTCTGAAGCTAGCAGGTGTATTCATTGTCTGCAGTGTGGTGATAGTTTTGATGGTATATACATGTCAAAACATATCAATTTGTACAATTTAAATACGTATAGCCCATTTTATGACAATTATACCTCTTTAAAGCTGTTTTAAAAAAACAAAAAGCATGGCAAGAAAGAATATCCTGGGTGAAAAAAAAGCTTATTTACTTGTAAAATTACTTCAATACCATCGACCTCATCAGGTTGTAGTCAGGACTAAATGGGATCATGTATACAAAGAGCACCACCTCTAACACAAAGGTGGTTTCCATTATATAGCTAACTTATTTCAAATTTGCATTACTCCTAGCAGTTAGGAGAAACTTTTGGGTGGAAGAGCCAGAGGTCTAAGAGAAATCTATCTGGGTAAGGACTAGAAACAAAGGTGGAAGTAAAACAGGTCAACTAATGTGTAAATGCTTATTAATGTGGTAAGCCTTAATCAAGCTGAATTGTTTAACAAGATGCTTGCACAATTATGTTACCCAGATACTACGCAGTAGTCATTTTGTAGCTTATTTGGCTTGTTTATTCACACTAAATAGAAAAAGACAAAAAGCCAGAATGTCAGAAGTTTCAATTTTAAAGGTGATGCTGTGCCACTGGCTATTTGTGAAAAAGGATGTTACCAAAAATTTTGAAAATAACCAGTTAAATTTAGTCAGCTTTCAAATCAAAACCCTTCCCAACTGTAACAAAATCTTTAAAGAAGAAGTGAAATCAAGTAGTCCTACTGTTCTAACTTAGCTGACTCCTGAGCAGCACAGGGCTTGGGCCCTTTCACATGCAGTTGAAATCCTGCATTGAACTTTTGATTCCCCCAAAACTTAACTAGTAATAGCTTATTGTTGACTGAAAGCCTTACCATGAACAGAAACAGTTGATTGACACATATTTTGTATGTTATATGAATTTTATACTGTATTCATATAATAAAGTAAGCTACAGAAAATAATAAAAAAGAAAATAAATTTACAGTATTGCAGTTGTATTGAAAAAAAAGCCACATATGTAAGTGGACCTGCACAGTTCAAACCTGTGTTGTTCAAGGGTCAACTGCAGTTATTAGGCATCTTGTTCTAGTTTAATAATGATCAACAGGAAACTCCCTGAGAATAGCATGAGAAGAGAGCAGGTACTAAAATCCAGCTGTCTCTACAAATCAGCTTGTACAGTGCATGCATGGCTTTGTATCAAGGAGAAAGGAGCACACTATTGGGAGGGGGGCAGAATTATTGTATTTAAGTATCAAATTATTTTTTTAAAAGAGAAACCCATGTAAAGCACCAAAGTTCCAACAATGCTGGGAAAGCCTGTTTTTTTAATTTCATGTGCACAGGAGGACTGATTTAGAAACAGGAGTCCAAAATGAGAAATAGCAACACCTAAATTTGTATGAGTTTATAAAGTTGTATTATATACATTAGTTTTATCCTCATAACAAATAGGTATAATTATTATCCTTCATTTACAGAGAAAATGAGGCTCAGAAAGGTTAAATGACTTGCTCAGTCTTAAAGCTTGTTAAGTGGGGTGGAATTGCCATTCAAACTTAGACCTCCTGATTCAAAGATCTATGTTCCTACCATTAGATAATACCAACCTAATTGCACTAGGCTGCAAATGATTTTTTAATGGTACATTTCGCAGAAAACATTTGATGAGCCCCTGACAATTAACAATCTGAAAGTCAGGGAACATCAACTCCTCAAAGGATTAGTAACAAGATTGGTATTTGATATTTCAAGATTTTAAATGAATTATATGCTTTTAAAAGTTTAATTAGAAAAACAGAAGAAAGCACCAGTTCTCATGTAGATTGTGAAGATTTACCTGAATGAAAGGGAAACTGTTGCTTGGCTTCACCGGTATGTGCATCCCAAATAATCGTAGTCTTGAGATTGAAAAGAAAAATATATTAAGAGGTTAAAAGAAGCTCATCATAGGTGCATAAATTAGATGCCTATGTTAAAGCAATAGGAAATGTCAGAGTGAATTTTACTTTAAATATCTACTTTATCCCCAATAGTACAACAAGGGTATACTCCATTTTGAGGGGGAAAATAACTATTAAGTAGTTTCATTTTTCCCTGATTTTTCATCAGTCAACTTACTTCAAGTAACTATTAGTTGTCTACAAACCATCAGACATTATATTACATTGCTTAAGAAACTCAAATGCAATAATGTTATTTAATGCAATTTTTTTTTTTAGCTATTAGGAGGCAAATTCTTGGTTAATGAAGTCATTAACCAATTTTCAATATTAAGATTTTTAAAGCTCACATTTACACATATGGGCAGCTTGAATTTTGACAATATTTAAAACAATGTCTTGTATATTATACCCAAGTATGACACATAAATCTGAATGGATATATTCACAGTTCCTTTAAATACCCTCCCATCACTAGTTTTATAACTTTGGGGATGTAAAGTATTATACAGTGGCAGTGGTTATTAATAGGATGTTTCCCTCCTATTCCTGGCCTCTTTTATTTTTCTTCCTTTTTTTCCCCTCTCTACTTTCATTTCTGACAACTGACTCCATTAACAAGCGTATGAGCATACACTTTGCTGGATCAAAATCATCTTAGACCTGTATTCATTTTGGGAGGTATGGTAGAAGGGATGACCTAAGAAAACAAAAGAGCAAGAAGGCCGTATTTTCAACCTATCCATATTTCCGGGCCTAGTTAGGTGGAAAAAGCTTCAACAACCCTGCATTTTTTATTTTTCAATGAAGCACCAAGAGTTCAGCTAACAGACTGGCTCTAAGATTTCTCAAGGAATCACTCCGGAGCCATTTTCACGGCTGAGATAAACTAGAAACTAGGGAAAGGAAGTAGAGTATGGGAGGTATGACATCCATTATTCCAGCAAAGATGAGTGGTCACAAAGATAAAAGATAAATGGCATTCCGATGAGTAAATTGGGGAAGGAGCTGACAGAAAATCTAAGAGCATTTCCATTATCATCATGAATTCGTACCTGAATTTCCTATATACAAATGTTTTATTGTTTATAGGAGCAGCAGGAGAAAACACTACTTTCAGGTATACTCTGTAACACACTAACCTTTATAAAACTTAGTTTAACGTTCTTTTACCTTGTCTACTCCAGCACTTAGGATGAAATTTCCTTTCTTATTCCACTTTAATGCAAATATAGGGCCTTTATGCTGCCCCAAGGTGCTAGCAAGGTTACCTAATATTCAAAAAGAGAAACATGAAAATTACTTCAAGCTTTATAACTTAGATCAACAACAACATATAAAAAGAAAAATTACTTCATTTACCATCTTTAGTCCATATTCTGGCAAATCCATCGTATGAACCAGTTGCTAGAAGTGTACCTTCACTCTGTCAGAGAAACACACTTCCTTCAATTATATAATCCAGAAAGGGCATTTAATTGTTATTTGACTATTTCCATGTTTAAACCCTAGGAAGAGTAGATCTTGACATTCTCTGCTTCAAAATTTGGGAATGCTACCAACGACCTACAAAAGACCCTTCACTGCTATGAAGCTAGTATTTGATCAGCATCTAGACAGTGTGGGAGCCTTAAAACCAGACCTCAAGAATGGCAGGAACTACTGTGGGGCAGGACCACCACCCCCCTCACGCATGCTAAGGTCTACAGTATTCTCTCAGATGCACATGACGCGAGACGGGAGAAGGGGGGTGGACCAGGAAGGACACCAAAATCACCATCTTAAAATGAATTTAATAGAGTCAAAAGCAAAAATGGCTAAAACATTTTGTTATGATTAGAAGATTTTATATGGTCCTCCCTCTAAATCTTTTACTGTCTAAATGAAGCTTGTATTGTGTGTAAGCCAAACAATATTGCCGCTTCAGATGATCAGATACTTAAATATCATTGAGTGTTTCTCTCCTTTGTTAATTCTTTCTCAATATGAAATCCTTACCAATTAGGAAAAAAAAAAAAAAAAAGCCAGAAAAGAGTGTAGGCTGACTTTATAGTTAATGAAGTGAGTACAATTGCCTGGAACTACTCTACCGCGAGGAGAAATCCATACCAATTTCTCTAATCTTATATTCCCTTGCTGTGCCTGGCCTTGATGAATGAATGGTACAACAGAAGGACAGATCTATGGAAGTGCAAGTTACAGAGTGCATTAAAAACACTATTGCTGGGATTACTAAACACTACTGAAGACACAGAATGAAATCCTGCCTTAGTGCTTTTGTGATGCTTTTTGGAAAGGGAATTGGAAACAAGACTGCCCTTTTTCAGACCTCCCAAGCCATTTAGCTGTGCAGGTAAGTGAAAAACAGATACTGGTATGGTACTAAGGGTTGTAGACTCAGTCCTGACAGGATATGGTTCTATCTGAGGAAGAAGGAGCCGCGCTGAAACTAACAGCAAAAGCTAATTTCCAGACTCTGAACAATGGGAAGTTTCCTTTAAACTACTGGACCCCAAATGTCTTAAAAGAACCATTAATCAAGGATAATGTTTTCTCCTTTTAGTGGAAGATTCAAGTTCATAGTGAATAATGTATGTTTGAAAAGTCCACACTTCTGAAAACTGTAACTTGGAGTTGAGAATCACCAAGCTCAACAAACAAACATTTGTTAACCATCCTATTCAGTGTAACCTGTAAATTTCATTAAGTTAACTCATAGGTCTCTGAGTCAAATAGCCTATCAAGGTGGTAAGGTCTCTGACTTAAGATATAATAAGGTCCCATATATTGAGAAGGTAATTCTTAGTCCTGACCCTACAACCAAACAATACCGTGGCATGCTAAACCTAAACCTTTTTCTCATTTTGGTAACTGCTATCTTCAAAGGAGGGAAAGAGTAAATAGACTGCTGGAAATTTTATAAGGGAACACTAAAAACAAAACAAAACAAAAACAAACAAACAAAAAAAACCCCTAGCTTTTGTTTTGGAAGAATTTCATAGACACTGAGAAATTTAGCTAGAGATACCATTTTTAAAGAGCTTTCATTCGCTGGAATGAGACTTGGAAGATCCTATGGAAAGCCGCACAAAAGCTGTCGAACAGGCCAGAGGAGGAAAGAGTGTTCATTTGCTGAGGAAAGAATGGTAAACCCCATGAAATGCTTGAGACACCGAAGTTGTCTAAGATGCTTCTTACACTTGAGAGAGCAGGTAAAAAATGGATGCAGTCACAAGGAAGGAAAAAAAGGCCACGTGGAATAAAGGAAAAGATATAGGAGCTTTCAAAATGCGAATTTTCCACAAATTAATCATGGGAATGGACACAAACCAAGCTGCTTATCACGTACGTGAAACTGAAAGGGTGAAGCTTTATGGACGAGGAGCTCAAACTTTCTGGCCAGTCAGAGCAGTGAAGTGATCTCTGAAGATGTGGAATGACACAGAGCATCTGAGAACTGTAAGATTCCTCCAGCTAGAACAGAGCTTGGAAGTAACCTAGACTAACAGTCCCTACAAGGCAGTCAGCAGTGAAGTTCTCATCAGTCCATACACAATGAGAAAAACAAGAACATGTTTTTATTATGGAGATTTCTCCTATCCCCTAGCAAAGGGCTTAGTAGTTAAGGACTTCGTATGTGCCTGCTGTTGATTTTCACCTATTACCCCACTTAAGCAGGCACCATTTTCACAGTTGTACTTTACAGCAGAGGAAGAGGAAGCACAGAGTGGGCCACCACCAGTTGGACAAAGGTTCTGCTGCAAGATAAACTGAAGAGCTTCAAGATGGACGGAGGTCTGACTACTGGAAGGCCAGTTGTTGTTTTTAACACCACATTTGAGAATGGCGAGTCCTAGTTTGTTGTTCTTGTAAGTGAAATTCAAAAGCTTCTCAACAAATGGACAAACCCTGCTTTAGTCTGCAGTTCAGAGAGGTTACGAAGATTAGGAACGATATTCACCATGGATAATACAGTGATACTCACATTCCAATCTAGGGATGTCACATCCTTGTTGCTTGGGACATCTTGCCCTCCTTCTCGTATACAGTGTCTAAGTACTAACTGTGTGGAGCCACTAGTGCTATTTTCACTAAGATTCCATATTCTTGCTGTTGAGTCTCCAGACCTATAAAGTATGCAACATATTTTAAGTCCTTGTGATATTCTCAAGTATCCCAGAATCAAAGTAACATATTTATATACTCTTATTAATAAGGCAAATAAAAACTAGACTCTCAGGGATCTCCATTTCCAATTATTTTCCTTAGTCTCCATTTTGGGGACCATAGGCACTTCTGAAGAAGTAAGTTTAATTAAAACTTCTAAGATTATGGGAGCACCTGGGTGGCACAGTTGGTTAAGCGACCGACTTTTGATTTTGGCTCAGGTCATGATCTCATGGGTTATGAGATCAAGTCCCGCATCAGGCTCCACACTCAGCAGGGAGTCTGCTTGAGATTCTCCCCCCTTCCTGCTGCCCGCCCCCACTTGTGCTCGCTCGCTCTCTAAAATAAATAAATCTTAAGAAATAATTTCTAAGATTATGTTATGAAGAAATAGAGATTTACAGAGGCAAAAGGACCACAAAGCAACAAAAACCTGAAAACATAAGTAATGCTTTTATAAAATGTGCAATAGTTCAGTATGATATTTTTAAAAATACATTTTAGTTTCACTTTGAGAAACATACCCCGATGCCAAGAGATCACTAACGGGGTTCCAGGCACAGATGAAAACTTCAGATTCATGGCCCCGTAACACAACTGCTTTATTAGGAGGGATTTCAACATCCCCATCCACTTCCATCATATCAGTATGATTATCTGTGTCATGAGAAACAAGTGGAAAATGCCAGTTAGGTAAGTAGTATTACAACATCCTCGGGGGGGGGGGGGGATAATTCTTAATCAGTGAATACCTGCCTTATAATATAAAAGTCTAACTTTTTTTTTCCCCACCTATGTCAGGTAATGTGAAAATAACTGTACATGAGAAATAAATTCCCATCCTTAGTTAAGTATGACCCTACAATTTTTAAAAGATGTACAAGAGTATGTGTTTGGGGTGGTGGGGAGGCGGTGAAAAAGACTTGCAAAAAGGTTAGAGCCAAACAAGGCTAAAATGATAAAATGGTCTGAATTAAATATAATCCATGTCAACACTGAGTTTCTGCCAGTAGGGGCTGCTGCTATCATTCACATAACATGTGAGCTGCCTTTTTATCTCCATGTCAGAGCGTTACTGTGTTAATGACCAGTATTACAAATTTTCTTTAGAAATCAAATGCAAACAACAAAATTTATCTAACAGTAGAAAATGGTTTCTAAATATTTAAAGAAGAAAATAAAATCCATGAAAGTAAATCTAGCTTTCTGGAGCTTCAGAAGCAAGAATGTGAATTGTGATACAAGTTAGGGAAACAAGTTGGCATAAATGAAACAGATGATGTTACTTCAGTCTGGAAGATGAGACATCCACATGAAGCAAAATTACTTTTGCTGCAAAGGAATTTTTAGAAATTCTTTCTGCTCACTTGCTATAGTATGTGCTCCGTTTTCCTCCCCATTGGCTGTATTCTCTCCATTTTTTGCAGACCCCTGCTGGTTTGTGGCTGCTGTGGAGGTGGCGGCGGCCGCTGCTTGCTGCTGTGCGAGCTTATCCCTGTAAGCTTGCTGTCTTGTCTGTACTACATCAGGCATTACGGCGTCTATCAGGGACAGAGACTCTATCGGCCGACCATCAAACAAGGTACCATCCTGGATGTGGAAAATTGAGAAAAGAAACATGAAAGAGAACACATTCAGGGTGAAGCGACTGCAAAGGGCTGTTTAAATTTTCCTGCTCCTCACCTAGTTCATACTGTGAAATACTGCACAGAGAAAGACGAAATACTGAAAGGAATAATAAAATGCAGGCCCAGGAGATAAAAAGTGATTCGTTAGATTCCAAAATTCCATCCGGGAAAAGCAATGGCCATTATGAAAGAGTTCATACAATGGTAGGAGACTCGGTGCCACATCAGAATAAACACTTCTTTACAACTAAAAACTTTTAAAATAGCTTTGTGGGACTCAAAAATTTCTTGTGATTTGATTCAAGTATTAAAACAAGAAACAGACCTCAGATATTCTGCCATCTAATCATCTCATTTTACTAATGGTGAGATGGAAGCACAATCAGGTTTAAAGACTTGCAGAAGTCACACAGCCAGTCAATGGCAACGGAGATCTCCTAACTGACACTATTGCTAGTGTGACCTGAGGGCCAACAGCACTACCATCACAGCTGGTAGCTTGTTATAAATGGAGAGTCAAACCTACAGGATCGAAATCTCTGAAGGGCTCAGGAACCCATGTTTTAACAAGCTCTCTAGGGCACACTACCATTTGAGATGTACCATCATAACTCTGAGACTGTGCTCTTTAATTTTATGGAGTTGCCATAATTTTCCAAAGCTCCTCTCATTGATATTAGGAAGCTCACAATTAATAAAAAGTTCTCCAGCAGGCACAAGGAGACAGAACAAGTCAGAAATAGAAACTGGGCAAATGAGCTAGGACTATGCATGTGTAAGGCCCAACTCACGTAATAAGCTGGTAGATAACCTACCGTGGGGTGATGGGGCGCTCTGAGTTACAAAAACATGGCACATCTTTCTGAGTTGTCAAATGTAAGGAGTATTTGAGGAGTAGGAGAATTTAAGTAACTTAAAAATATTAATACCAACAGATACATTGTAGAGTACTATATTAAATCTGTAAAACATTTATTTTTCAGATACCATGAGACTTCAATTCTGGCCACTGATGGAAACTGTTTCTCACCCTCTGCAATAAAACATACTCTGGTACGGAAAGAACTAAAAGTCAACGAGGACACAATACTAGTGGACTTTTCAGTTTTGGAGAGGAGGAAACTAAAAAATAATGAAGTCAGAATTAGTATACTATATAATTATAGCAATAAATATTGGTGTAGAAACCACGGATGCTTGTTTTAAAAAATACTTGCAAAAGGAAAGGGGAGCCATGTTAATCTGTGAAATGAAAATAACATAAAGAGCCCCCCCATGTTATAAATCCTGACCATATATGAAATTTTTTAGCTAGACCAGGGTCTGCAAACTTTTTCTGTGAAAAGACAAACAGTAAATTATCTTAGGCTTTGCAGAACATACGGTCTCTGTCACAACTATTCAATTCTGCCACTGTAGCACCAAAGTAGCCAAAACAATATATAAGTGAATGAGTGTGGCTGTGTTCCAGGCAAGCAGGCAGGATTTGGCTCATGGGTCACAGTTGGCCGACACCTGAATGAAACTACCTATATATGGACCTTATTAGATAGGCAAAAGTATCAAGAGTTGGCTTCAATTATAAACTGCCTTCCAAAATCAGGTATAACCAAATAACCTGAGGTTTTATAATTTTTCAGACCGTCAATTGTGGTCTCAGCATTTCACAGCACAGTGTTGTTGTTTTAAAGAAAATTATTTATTTACTTATAAAACCAAAGAAAGGGAAATAAACTAGAACTAATGGTTCTTACAGTTCGGAGTCAACAGGCCTTGCCTGTTCAACCTGACTGTGACATGAGGAACACCACCCTTCGATGCTGTTAACCTGGTGAAGCTGAAATCAGATAATGAATGAACAAACAGAGAGCAGATTTAAGGACAAACTTAAGAGTATTTGAAATAAATTTTCCTTACCTCATTAATACTAACTTCTGCCTCTACATACTGTAGACCTTTCTGGATGATAGAAATCAATGCGGCAGGTGGGACGAGGGCACCATTGATGTTAGACTGACTGATATGGCTTTCTATACCAAAGGTAAACGCTGAATGAGAAAATCCTAAAAGCAGAAGAAAACGTGTAAGAATTTATTCTCCTAGTGGCAACATGCTATAGGACACAAACGAAAGAGCTCTGTAATCTTTCAAAATCGCAGTCCATCATCTGGAATCCCAGACTGTTAGCTAAGGTTAAACACGTTTTAAACAAAAGAAATACCAAAATCCAAACATGTTAACTTTTACATATTTTCCTTTTCACTTTAATTACATAAATTATGATATAAAATCTCTAGTACATATAAAATTTAGCCATGGCACATAACTTTCCTCAAAGAATAGCATCTAACTTTAAAGCTGGGCGGCAGGGGGGATGGGGGGCAGTCTTTGGAAATCATGTGAGTCAATTGCTTCACTAAAGATAATTTAGGCCAAGATAAATTAAGGTGACATTTGATATTTCTGTCAAACACAGTATGAATCCAATATTTTGCAGGGTTTTTTTTTAACTTAGGAAATAAAAAGCAAACTAAAGTTAAGTTATAAAATATGAAAATTTTTATGCTTAAATCTCACTGTATGTATGAGTTAAATGCAAAAAAAAATTACTAATTCTTTGCCACTTAGTAATAACCCAACTAAATGAAAGCTTTAGGAAGTAAGTTAGCAAGTAAATAGCCAGTTTCTATCGGCAATTCTTTAGTTTTAATTTGAAATACTTAAACCCAAAATATATAATAAAAATCTCTTTATGTCGGTCTCGCTTTTTATGAAAGTCTAAACTCAAAGGTTAAATTCTAGTAAAATGATAAACGCATGTGCACTTATTCTCTTTACTAAAACATCCACCAGAGCTTATCATTAAGTAGTAACTGTCATTAATGTATTTTAAGCAATTCAATCACATTATACATATAATATGGAATGTTAAGAAACTTTCATGTCGACTAAATGAACACGGGCTTACTTGTGTCTTAAATGGATTTAAAAATCCATGTAATAACTATCCTAGTCTATCCTAGTTTTTTAGTGCTGACTCTGTGTCTTGATGCATTTTGTGCTTCCACTTTTAGGCTTCTGTGGCACTTATGAATAGTCTAGAATAAAATACTATGGACTCACACAAAGCATGTGGCTAGGAAAGATTTTAGTCAGTAGACAAAGTACACCTAAGTTGGTTTTCCTCATGGCTCCTTCCTCCCCTCTTGGAAACACCTGGCCATTCTACTCCTGCAACCCATAGTGAGAAGTGAAAAGACATTCCAAGTCTTTGATTTTAACTCATGATTTTGCCTACAGGCATGATCATTATTAAACACATTTATGGTTTTCAGCTTAATCTGAGCTCACAGAGATGGCTAAGAAACATAGTAATGAAACTAAGAAACATATCAATGAAAAAGAGCATCATTCTGCACTGTCCCTATCAGGAAACCCATAACTACTTGAATGTGAGTAGATTCCAGATTGCCAGGGTAGAAGGCTAATAAAGGCTGGGAAGGATGGGGAGAGACGGTAAAAGATAAGGCAGTGAAATCCATAAGCAGTGAGGCTGCAGAGTCCTGTTTTTAATTATATGCCCTTCCCTAAATAAATTCTGCAGTAAGTCATAAACGGGAAAAAAAGCTAAACAGCCAAGTGGCTTAGAGATTTACAAAGACTTCAAGATGGACAATACCATTTATGGAGGGTCTGCACCATGCACACATATATAGTTTTGTTATTTTATAATCTGAGCTAACAGATGGGAACATAGCCACTAACAGGATAAGGATTTACTTTTTTAAGTTTTTATTTAAATTCCAGTTAGTTAACACACAGTGTAATATTAGTTTTAGGTGTACAATTTAGTGATTCAACATCATACAACACCCAGTGCTCATCACAAGTGCACTCCTTAATCCCCATCACCTGTTTAACCCATCCCCCCACCCACCTCCCCTCCAGTAACCCTCCGTTTGTTCTCTATAGGTAAGAGTCTGTTTTTTGGTTTGTCTCTTTCCCCTTCCTATGTTCATCTGTTTTGTTTCTTAAATTCCACATGAGTGAAATCATACGGTATTTGTCTTTTGCTGACTTATTTTGCTCCATCCATGGTGTTGTAAATGGCAGGATTTCATTTTTTATGGCTGAGTAATATTCCATTGTGTATATATACCACATTATCTTTAAGAGGATAAGGATTTAAATTTATTCAGAGACCATGGAGGTAACCACTACATTCCGTTGCTCCTACTGAACAATTACGTTAAAATATGGTCAAGGATAAAGCTAAGATAGAGTGAGCTCCTGTTTACTAATAGAAAATGAAGGATTACATCATTGTTCTGTTTCAACTCAGGGTGTTCGAAAGAGGTGTCAGTACTGCATGAAACATTAATACATCTTATTAGCAACGTTTTTCAAGTGTTTTGATTTTCATAAGCCTTACAAATTTTAGCAAAGTCCAGGGCTTCTGTACCCTCTAATTCATGAGTACAACTTAAATAATCAAAATCATAACATTTAGACCCTGTTCAGACCAAGTTCAAGCTTATGTCCAAGAATATCCTAAGGGTTGCAGGCGGAACAATGTCGATTTGGGGCTGGCATGTTGTATATCCCGAATTTGTTCTATCAGACAGGAGAGAAGCTATCCCAGGTGCTTACATCCATCTCAAATAGTAAAAAACAACTCTGAAAGGGTTATTAGCATTGTTTGGACACTTCACACTAATGTCTACCCTAAAAAAGGTCCACAATTAAAAACATTCTGCTTCAATAAATGTTGAATTCAACTGTAACTTTTAAATTTCTAGTCATAGCACTACATGGCAGCTTAAAATCATTATATTCAAAACTACTTTTCTTGCAGCGCCTGGGTGGCTCAGTCATTAAGCTTCTGCCTTCGGCTCAGGTCATGATCCTGGGGTCCTGGGACTGAGCCCCACATCGGGCTCCCTGCTCAGCGGAGAGTCTGCTTCTCCCTCTCCCACTCCCCCTGCTTGTGTTCCCTCTCTCGCTGTGTCTGTCAAAATTATAAATAAAATCTTTAAAAAAAAAAACAAAAAACAAAAAACTACTTTTCTTATTCCCCTCCCTAAAACTTCATTTTCCTTAGAAATTTGACCTTACTTCATTACACCTGAAAGTCATCCTAACCTTCACCTTGGCCCCTAGTGCTCCACCACTCACCAAATCCTATCAATCCTACCTCTCTGGTCTCTATCATCAGCTTTCCTTTTCTCCTGGAACCTGGTTTAGTCCCCATCATCCATTGCCTACAATTAATACCCCAAGTTCCTCTTTCCCCAGCTCAGCCCATTTGCCACGCTACAGCTAGGGCATTATCTGTGAAACAAAACCAATCACATCACTCCTCACATGGGCACTTTCAACGATCCCTTTGGCCTTCCTAATAAAGGCCAAATTTCTAAGTATGACACACAGTTACCTTTGTAATTTGACCCTACTTATCTCTCCAGACTCATCTCTCCAATTCCATGCCCCCCACCCTTCTTCACCTTACACATTAAATTCAAGTGATTGCCAATTATATGTAGCACCATGAATATCCTATGCTATCTCATGCTTTTGTATCTCAGGTGTTCCTAAGTTCTTTCCCCCTATTTGAATGCAGGGGAAGTCCTTTCTTTCACTACCCTAGAGGGGGATCTTTCTCTGTTATGTTAATCCTATAGTTTGTTATATGTACGGTATTTACCACACTGAATGGTTATCTTGTGTGTATGTGTATGATGCTAGACTAGGCTACTTGAAGAAAGAGTTGATGTCTAGTAAATCTTTTCATTCTGGAAACCTAGAATGTTACCTAATTTAACTAATGCTCAATAAACATTTGTTAAATCAGAATGCAATTCTACTATAACGTATTTTGGCACATCAGAAAAGCTATGAATCCAAAAATAAAAGCATCTGACTTAACTCTTCCTTAAAAAACAAAACTAGTACAAGACTGAGGAATCACGCATCTGTACTTCTGAAACAAATAATGCAATATATGTTAAGAAAAAAAGAAGAAGAAGAAGATAGCAGGAGGGGAAGAATGAAGGGGAGTAAGTCGGAGGGGGAGACGAACCATTAGAGACGATGGACTCTGAAAAACAAACTGAGGGTTCTAGAGGGGCGGGGGGTGGGGGGATGGGTTAGCCTGGTGATGGGTATTAAAGAGGGCACATTCTGCGTGGAGCACTGGGTGTTATGCACAAACAATGAATCATGGAACACTGCATCAAAAACTAATGATGTATGGTGGTTAACATAACAATAAAAAAATTATTAAAAAAAAACAAAACAAAACAAAACTAAAGGGGTGCCTGGGTGGCTCAGTTGGTTGAGCGACTGCCTTCGGCTCAGGTCATGATCCTGGGGTCCCGGGATGGAGTCCCGCATCGGGCTCCCTGCTCAGTGGGGAGTCTGCTTCTCCCTCTGACCCTCCCCCCTCTCATGTGCTCTCTCTCTCTCTTGCTCATTCTCGCTCTCTCAATAAATAAAATCTTAAAAAAAAAAAAACTAAACTAAAACTTGAACCAGGTTATGCCAAAAAATATTTCCATTTATCTGTAAATACATGTGTGCAGGAAATAGTTTTTCAGGGGCAGCTTTTGATTTACATAGTAGAAGGCAAAAGAGAGTCACCTAAATCTGTGAGATGTTAAAGACTGGTTTGATTGCTTAAAATAGCATCCCTTCTTTCCAGGAGTAAGTGCAAATCTGATATAAATAATACCTTTGTAATCAAGTACGCTACAAATTCGCTAGGGTGATTAACATTTGGAAGGTAGAAAAGAGATTCCAGAAAGGAATTAAGGCTAAAAACCATGAAGTTTAGTATACAGTAACTCAGGAATAAAGACAAGCAGTGGCAGGGGAGGCGTGGTAACTCAGGAGCCCACGAGACCCCATGCATGGTTCCCACATAAGAAACAAGATCACAAAACAACTGTTTTCTACATACTGCTTGTTTCAGGGACGGCGTTCCCTTGGGATGACAGGGGCTGTGTTTTCAAAGAGGTATTAGTCCTCCAGAGCAAGCCAACTCTCCTTTGCAAACAGACTACAG